TAGATCTCGTTTACATCTTCCTCTTTGCCTATGTTAATCAAAATTAAATATTTTTCATCAAAAATAAATTCTTACCTACGACCGCTAGTGCAAGCAGCTGACGACTTAGTTGTGACGTCGGAAATGGTGAAACGCCAATATAGCGGCGGCGGCGATTACCAAAAACGAGGACGATAAGCAATCCTTAGTAGTGTGTATTATCCAATTGACTTGTCTCGCAGAAATAGAAAAAGAGAGCTCAATTATTGTAATAAATACAAGCTAGAAAGTAATAAAAAATGACATGCGCGCGCAACTCGTGGCTGCAGTGTAGCCAGATTGTATTGTTTGCAGACCAAATGTAGACAATACAAAACGAACATTATACCATTAAAGAAGTGATACATTATCAAGTGTTTTACAACGCCTTAAATCAGACAAGAGAAGAACTTTAACGCGTATGTTAACATCGATGGTACCTCTATTTTGATAAATGTTTCATCCGGCAACATCGCACAATGAAATTGCAAAGGAATATGTCAAGTATAATCTAACATAACTTTAAACGACACTGCGATAAGTTCAAGTAGTACGTAAAGTATTAGTTTGCTCTTTGTCGAATCACACGTTACAAAGAAAGAAGGAACGATTAATTCTGAACTCGTCCCTGAATAGGAATATGACGCGAGCCCGTAACAAACTCGATTTTCATTGGATGCTCACCTGCAGCCCACGAGTTGCGCGCGCACACCAGGTATTACGAGACACCTCAATCCCATAGCAAACACCATCAAATGGTACACAGACGGTTCCAAAACTGCTGAGGGAACTGGAGCCGGAGTATTCGGGCCACAGACCAGATACTCGGACTACTCGGTGCCAATGGAAAAATCACCAAGCATTTTTCAAGCGATCAGCGATCAAGATCAGAAGATGCATGCAGTTCAACCTGACAAAGCATTGAGATCATTTGAGATCCCTAGTCATCAATTCTAAAGACAGTATGGGAATGTCTACAGAAACTAAATGAGCTGGAAAAACAAAATAAAGTAACCCTCCTCTGGAATGCGCAGACAGACTCGCAAGAATGAAAGCGTGTACTCCCTTCACTGGGTCAGAAACATTTTGCCACGTCGGAAATGCGCACCTCAAACAAAGCCTCGAAAAAGAAGAGAACCGGCTAAGGAACAAACAATTAATAGGCATTTTTCCGCGAGGATAATCAAGCAGATATTGTTTGCCCAGCGGATCTGAGTCTACGGCAGGAATTCGGATGTAAATGCGCCATATTGCCACGTTTAATTATAAAAAAGCGAAAATACTAGACATGAAGTATAGTTCATTTGAAAATCCATTTTTTAATAACAAAATATTGATAACAATAATAAAACGCTAAATATTTTAACGTGGTTGTTAGATCTATTCTTATTTCTCCTGATTTCTTCAATTTGGTCTGTTGTAAAAAATAAACATTTTCTGAATATACCATCCGCTTTTGACAATTTGGCAAGCATCCGGCCTGGATGAACCTGATTGGTGGAGTTTTTGGCAGGATCGCCGTTGCCATGAAAACCATACGGTTGTCAATGAGCCAACGTCACCTTATGTCTCGCTATTGGCCAGGCCTTACGTCATTTTATCCCCCCATCTTGGAATATCAATTTATATTGAAATATCCAGTGGCGGAGGTTTGGTCATTGTCAATTTTCGTGTACGAGTTGCAATACGATAACACTTTCAAAAAGTTCCGCACGCAGCTGGGTATTTTATGAATGAAATCAGCCATTTTTTTTTACAACTGCATTCCCCTCACCGTTGCCCCGTAGACACAGATTCGCTGGGCAGACATTAGAATAATCAAGCATAATCTGTGTGCTGGGTTATGTGGTGTGTCAATTGTGTCATACTCCCCTAACTCCCTCACTATCAAATTCTGGGCCTGCGAATGACGTCACTGTCAGCACCTTATAGTGATGACGTCACCTGCAGACCTCGATGGAATGCTTGCGATTCAGGCTGTGCTAGTGAGTTAATTTTTTCGTTGATTTTAAATGTAGGAAAGGTAATTTTCGGTCTGTTCCCACAGAAGAAATTAAGTGTTCTTGATCCTCGAGTATCCCAGAATTTGATGGAGGGTGAGTTAGGGGAGTATGACACAATTGACATATCACATAATCCAGCATAAGATTATGCTTGATTTGATTATCCTCGCAAAAAATTGCCTAATGCTAGGCTAGAACAGCCAGAACTACGACACTCCAAAGATCTATTAGCCAGCCACACACGAAAATTTCGGCGCGCAAGTTTGAAGTGTGCTGTTCCAAAAGTCGCAAGAGAAGTGTTAGTTAGTGGAGTGTCACGATAACAGGTTTTGCGCGTTCTTACAAGTTTGGCGCGCAAATCGCACGTGCAAGAGTTAATTGCACATAAACGTAGACTCTTGTTATTTTTCTGGAATTTCAAATTTATTTTCGATATGGGTGACAGTCGGAAAGTACCTAAGTATGATATTTAATAGAAATTACCATAGACTATTGGATAAGGTTTCATTAATTAAACAAATAACCGAGCAAATAACCCTTAAAATGTAAAGGGAACTCAAGGCAAATTAAAAAAATATATATATAGGTATTATACCTACACCATTTCCAAATCCAAGCAGCAGTAAATGACATAACATAACGTCAACCATAGGTATAACATTTATAATTTTATCGCCTATATTGAGTTGATTCGTTCACAAAAAAAGTTTCATTTATTGAAAAGGTGGTATATGACCATATATTGCCCTTTCTTCCAACCATTTTTTTGACCAAGTGGATCGTTTTTTCTTTTCTTGACTTATTTGTAAAGAATATGCATACAGCATAGCACATGCAATAACTATCCTTTTTTTTAATGAGTGAAACATAATTAGGTACTAGTGAATTTACAAAAACAGTACACCTCGTAAAATTCACACACTCTTAGCAAAACTGTTAGAATTTCTAAAATGCCAGATGCCGTTCCAATCTGTAGGCTAAACCCGCATGTATTTTTTGAATGTTTGTGGACAAAGACGCTCATATGCGTGACGTTCCAAGCATCTACATCCGGAACGTCTCGCATCTACGCGTGTTATAAACTTTTCGTGTGTGGCTGGCTATTGGGCAACCAAAAAAGATCCAGAACTGCTGTCAACATTAGCAAGAAAAGTCTCAAGACTAACCGGGTTTGTCTCGGGTCATTGCAGACCTAAGAAACATCTACAGAAGTTGGGTTTAGAAGAAGGTGGCACCTGCAGATTCTGTGAAGACGGAGAAGAGACACCTCACCATCTTGTACTGAACTGTGATTCCTAAAGGACCTAGGACTGGAGGGGCTGCTTTGAGCAGGAAACCCGAACTTAGCAACAGAAAGAGGGGTACAATAAATAAACCTTGGTCGCGGTACAACTGACACCTCCAACACAAGTTGTATTCCTTTCACACCTAGGAGGAGCTCCGGAACAGCTCCGGGGCTTCACGCGCTTAAGCTGGAGTTTCATGCATCCGTTTTTCCGAAAAAAATTCTGTTCTGACATAATCGTATCAAAAAATGGGAAAATAGAAGGTTTTTCGGACATATTTCGTCGGAAAACGGATGCATGAAACTCCGGCCATTCCTTTCGAAAAGTGTTTGTTGCACCACGCATCTGTTCCCTGCAAATCGGGGGCTACTAAACACCGAAGCGAGTAGCTCGAGTGTTTCAAACTCTTGAAAGGAATACAACTACACACATACGAATACACACATCCTTGACCAATGAACTATAACCAAAAACTGGAATGCTTACACATAAGGACGAACGTGAAGCCTAGTGCGGCTGCTGCGGAGGGGATACCTGTTTTTGTCGCACTCATTATGTTAAATGGCGAAAATTGCTTCCAACACGTATTCCAATCGATGAAACCTGTGAAGGGAAATATGACAAAACTTTCGAAAACGTCATATGTCAGCGAGCAACAGAAAAAAACAACATTCCCCCTTGTGGCATCTGTCTTTCATGGCTTCATTTTTTTAGCAGATATCCCGTGACATTTTTCAAAGTTTGCTCATTTTGCTCGCAGATTGCACCTTGCGTTCGGTATTCTGCCCAAAGAGCAGAACGCGCTGAGCGGAGCGGTAATCACGTGACCAGCGAGCGAACAGAGCAATGGAACGCTGTATCCGAGTTCCCGAAATCGAACGCAAATGAGCCTGCACCGCTTACACTTTTTAAATAAACCAACCGTAAATTCAAGCTCGGAGAACTCAGATCAAAATACCGAACGCACGAGCAATTACCAAACCCAACCATAATCTTTTGTATGAAGTAAAGGCTTATTAAAGCCGCTTTCCAGCTGACCATTTTGAGCACGCAATCGAGCTTTTGCGCGCGAAAATGCTTCAAGCGCGTGTTCGTGTTCCAGCCGTGATGCGATTCGAGAGCCTAAAGGCCGAAACTCACTAGCAACACGCCACGTCATGCTTCGCCACACCACGCCATGTGACGAAAATGTATGCGTATATTCTTCCATTTATTTATATGTGCACATGCACATGCGTACACATTTGCCATACGCCATGGCACGCCACGCCATCCGTCCATTTGCACACAAACTGTCCCACGTGAACCTGTGTCACATGATGGCGTGGGGTGGCGTGGCGTGTTGCTAGTGGGTTTCGGCCTTAACTTTTACGTTTCAAACACAGAGCACTGTGCTGCACCGTGCTTGAAGCACAAAAACTTGTCAGCTGGAAAGCGGCTTTAAGGGTGGGTATTATAAAACTACTTTGAGAGTTAACTTAAAGTTAACTGCTGGAATTACATGTAATTCAAAAAGTTAACTTTAAGTTAACTGTCAAAGCAGTTTTATAATACCCGCCCTTAGTCACCTGACTGCTCTGGCCCGAACGGTTCCGGAGTGAAAAGTGTCGAAAGATTTAAATATCGGAACTGACCCAGAATAAAATCCAAATCTAGTTGCCTATTCTCTATGGTTACTTATAACAATTCATAATCCATAGTAACGAATTGTGTATTCATCAATTGTTATTCGATTCGACAATCTTTCACGAACGAAACATTGAAATAATTCTCCTCAGAAAACTCTGCAAAACGTAAGTCAATTGATCTATTTTAATGAAAAATGCTTCATCTAACTTATATTTAGGTACAGCATAATGCAAACCTCCGCTTTTCTGGTTGCTTTCGGCTTCATCGCTTCGTTATGGCTAGGAGCGTACTCAAGACCTATGGAGCCGGAGGAAACTCCAGCAGTACCTCTCAAAGAAATGACCGCAGCACCTCGTAAAGAAATGACTGCAGCACCTCGTAAAGAAATGACCGCAGTATCTCGTAAAGACATGACCGCAGTTTCTCCTAAAGAAATGACCGCAAAACCAAAACCTTCCGGCCCGTTTCATGAACTTCTAGAGCTTTTACCATTGAAAGAGATTGATGAAATCGTGCATGTTCATTTGCAAAATGATACCGGTTTCAGAGCGGCCGTAAAGGTGCTGAAGAGTGATGCTTGGCTAAAACTTATTGAAAAAGTTGTAGCGACTCCGGAGTTTAAGAACTTTTCCAACGTAGCAGGAAAGGTAAGTATAGTTAGCAAAACAGGATTATTTTTTATTTTTAATTTGAGTTGCACAAATAATAATGGAAGAATTTTATGTTAAGCAGAACCACTTTTACCTTTGCTGGAATGTTGGCCAATTTGAATCAAGCCGAGATGGAAGAAAGATAAAGTTTGTTTCGCCAGGGTTTGTACTTGCCACCAGCATTTGCCTTCCTTGTTTAACAAATAAAAATTCAGTGAAACACATCAATGACGTCAAAAATGTTCGTCGGTTCTTAAACCAGAAGTCATTCATTTTAATTTGTCAAAATATTGAATGTGTCATATGAATTAATCTACGACAACCCTTTTTTTTTTTCAAGTTTCAAGGTCAAGTATGAACCCTGGTGAAACGGACCTTATATCTTTTTTCCTTCCTCATGGCCTCTTCTGCATTCCATTCCAACTACCTACCTCTAGTAGCACAGAAACGTTTCAAATCGAACTGTGTTGGCAGCGTTTTGGTTTACTTAGAACAAATTAGAATAATTCTGGGATTGTTCCAGAATACGCTTCTCTCCAGTTCTTGATCTGAAGGAGGAACAGTTTTGGAATTTTGTGATCTGCGGCTTGTTTTGTTTTTTTTTGGCTCCGAATCGGTTTAGAATTAGTATTGAAACATATCTTCATTATTTTTTGTTGGCAAGCAGTTCTGCGCAATCCAGTCCAATAGACTTTTTTTAATCATATATCCATATATGTTTATTTAATATACAGTATTTTCAATAGTATTATTAAGTATCTCTAAATACGACCATCATAATCCTTTATAAAACCCTAGCAGCTGTATGCAACATCCTCTTTTAACTCAAGAGCGCTTTTTAAAACCGGTCACTTTCAAAAATGTGTATTCTAAAACATATAAAGTTTGTTTCGCCAGGGTTTATACTTGCCACCAGCATTTGCCTTCCTTGTTTAACAAATAAAAATTGACTGAAACAAATCAAAGACGTCAAAAACGTTCGTCGGTTCTTAAACCAGAAGTCATTCATTTTAAATTGTCAAAAAATTGAATGTGTCATATAAATTAATCTACGACAACCCTTTTTTTTCAAGTTTCAAGGTCAAGTATGAACCCTGGTGAAACGAACTTTACAGCTGTAGGCAACATCCTCTTTTAACTTAAAAGCGCTTTTTAAACCTGGTTCCTTTCAAAATTTGTATGGCTTAGAATACACATTTTTAAAAGTGACCAGTTTTTAAAAGCGCTTTTGAGTTAAAAGAGGATGTTGCATACAGCTGATAAATTTTAAAAGGCACCAGTTTTAAAAAGCGCTTTTAAGTTAAAAGAGGATATTGCATACAGCTCTAGGACTTTTTATAACAAACATAACTTTTACGAAATACGAAATTCTATAAGACAATTTGCAATTCTGGACTTCCTGTCTTACAGAAAATCTTATAGAATCGTGAATATTTCCGATCCGAGATCCGATCTTTTACAATCGATGCGTCATACAGTCAGTTGCGTTTGCTGTTGTTTGTTTTAAAAACGGCCTAAATCAGTGGTCTCCAAAACTTTTTTTTTCAGAACTTTATGTTTATGGACGTTTTGTGAAAATATTTCGGACGTTTCTTTTTATCTCGTTTTTAAAAACGGTTTTGAACACACGTTTATAAAACGGCTTATTTTAGTCCTCGGACGTTTCGACATTCAACAGACTTCAACAAAACGTCCATCTTCTAGTAATTTATTGTTTTCCAGAAAAAGAAAAACTATAACAATGATGTGATAACGAATTCAATTTTCAGTACTTCAACATTACCCAAGCGAGCTCCTGCATTATCGAATTCATTAAATCCCTAAACACTACCGAGCCATTGGATAAAAAAGTACCAGCTGATACTCCTGAGCCTGAGCCTAATCTTGAATCGTTCGTGACTGAAATTCAAAAGATTTTACCGTTTGGCAAATTTGCCAAATTGTTGTCGGCTGACAGTAAGAAATTTGCCAAAAAAAATGATTTAACTCATTCAAAAATTCCCTAATTACAGACCCTGATTCTGAATTCAAGAAAATCCGAGAAGAGCTTGCAACTGAAGAAAATCGTCAAATTGCTCTTGCCTTGCACAATGCTCCAGACATGGTCGAATTGCGCAAGAGCCTGAAGATGATGCACTTTGATATTGAGCCCTATATTTCCTTGATTTATAGCGTCTTGGAATGGCAACTGCCCGAATAAGAAGCTATTTTTTTAGTTAATTATCTTATATTATTATGTTTAAGTCGTTTAGTTATGACGATATGTTTTCAATAAAGTTCTATTTTCGTTAAGTTTGAATCTCATTGCTACTTTTTGCAAATTTCAGCACTGTATCATACTTAATAGTATAGTGATGTTCAAGGTTCTAGAACCGTCACATCCAATTATTTACTCGAAATTTTCTTTTTTGTATTTGGTACATACGTAATCTTTATGAAATAGATATGTGCTTCTCAAAAACAGCATTGACAAAAAAGCGTAAAAGATTTGCAGAAAGTGAACGTACAAAAGGACCCCGCACCGGATGCATGGGATTTTGGGTTTCGGTGAAAGTCTGTGAAATGTTCAAATTTTGTATAAATCAACGTGCTAATGGGACAAATTTCGTAACCCCCATAGTATGCCTTTTATAGGCTCTCCTATTCCAGACCCTTTCTAATCTATACAGAATCTTTATTGATTGATTTGTTTATTATTTTGGTGAATTTGTTTTTTGATGTTCTTGTTTTATGGCCGATGCGGTAGGTACAGTGTAAAAATTAACAGAAAGGCGATAAGATAACCGAATTAAGTAGGGAGCCGACTTATCGTAAAAATTGCAATTGCTTCTTGATTGGGAATAGCGAAAACTTCTGGCCATTTTTACTGGAGTAATCCATGATAACCAAGATGTATTTGTTACCACGCTCTGACTCAGGGAACGGTCCGGCTAGATCCATCGCTATTCTTTCATTTCTTTCAGATGGGAGACCGACGTTGTACTGTTTCATGGGCCCCCGAGATCTAAGTTTAGGGCCTTTACTGGTAGCACGGATGTCGCATTTTCGGCACCAGTTTTTAACGTCTTCACGATAGCAGTGGCGCAGCCAGAAATTTTGTCTGGGGAGGGGGGGCAGGCAGCAAAAATTATAAGAAAAAACGCAGATCGACTTTCTTTTAAACTTTTTCTCTGATATGAGCAGTTTTCAGCTTCCGTCTACTTCATCATTTTTCTAGTTTTCTCTGAAGCCTTGGGAGGGGGGGGGGCGGGCTGCCCCCCTGGCTGCGCCACTGCATGATAGTGAACCCAGTGAAAATGTTCCCGAATTTTGTCCGAAGTCTTGTTAACTCGAAAATGTGCCCCTGAAGTTCCGTCATGTAATTCTTTTAATACATCTTCTACTCGATCTCTTGGAATAACCAGTTGGCTCTTAGTAGATTTTCCATCGGCACTTTCCCAAATTCTTTTCAGTAAACCATTTTCTACGGCCAGAGAGTTCCACTGCGCCCACAACGCGTTGTAAATCAAACTCTTGTTTGACACTTTCCTCCATTCTGGCCTACATTCATCATTTTCTTTAAGATGGAGAAATTGCCCGATGTCCTGGTCTGCTTCTTCATCTGCTCCCATTTGTTTGGTAGTCCATTTATCATCAACGATCTGACCCGTTCTTCTCACAGCCGGACCAGTGTTTTTCTCATGCATGTCGATTCTTTGACAATGCTTGCAGTCTTCTTTGCATGGCCGTCTAGACAGAGCGTCAGCATTTTTATGCAGGTTTCCAGGGGTCCTATTTTCGAATATTTTCGTATACGAAATTTGATACGATTTCGAATGCTCCCCATTTAATTTACATTGCTGTCAGTCAAATTTCGTGTACGAAATGTACTCGAATGGTTTCGAAAATCGCATCAGGTCGATGTCCAATTTGGAAATCGTATTGCTGCAACTTCTCAATCCATCTAGCAAGCTGTCCTTCGGGAGTTTTCATTTCTAAAAGCCATTTTAGAGCTGCGGGATCCGTTCGAATTAGAAATTTATGTCATGTCCGTTGTCCGTAGAGATACTTATGGAAATGGTCGACTGCTTTTACTATGGCGAGCAACTCTCTTCTGGTGACACAATAATTTCGTTCTGGCTTTGATAAGGTTCTGCTGTAGTACTCTACGACTTGCTCGTGTGAATTTGTGAAAGTACCGCTCCAATACTGGTGTTGCTTGCATCTGTGTCCAAAATCAACATGCCCTTCTGATGATCGGGATAGGACAACGCTGTGCTTGTACATAATGCTCCTTTTAATTTTCTAAATGCGGAATCGCATTCTTGGGTGCAATTGAATGTTGATTTTTCTTCCGTTAATCGATGAAGTGGAGCAGCTATATTAGCGAATCTTTCTACAAATTTTTGATAATAAGAACATAATCCTAGAAAACTCCTTGGTTCATGTTTGTCGTGTAGTTTTGGCCAATTCCTGACAGCATCTATCTTTCCTTCCATAACTTGTATGCCATCTTCAGATACCACATGACCTAAGAATTCCACTTTCTTTTGAAATAGCCCATATAGCCAAATAATATTTTTTGAAGCTTCAAAAAATATTTTTTTTCGGATCAAATATATTTTTAAAACATCCAAATATCCATAAAACATATTTTTAGGACATTTTTTGAACATTCTGCGGTAACGAATCGATATTTTTTGAACATCCATGCGATATTTTTCAAATGTATTAGGAATATTTTTAGAAAGTATGAAAATGTTTTTTGAACATCATCATCGAACAAAAAATAATGCGGATTCAGAAGCGATGTGTTAAAAATGTTTCTATCTGTATGATATTTTTGAGAATGTTTTAAAAACATTTTTAAAATATCCAAATATATTTTTAAAACGTCTTTTGGATATTTTGTGAAACATTTAAAAAAAAAAAATGTAAATAAAATATTTTCCACACATGAAATAGTTATTTTCCTAACAAGTGCGCAAAGTGTTACTTTTCCGCACGCAAGCACAGTTATACGAACGACGCGAAGCGGAGTTCGGATACGTGTTTGCGTGCGGAAAAGACACTTTGCGCACGTGTTAGGAACAAAATTTTTCCTACGAGCTTCATATCAGGTAGGTAATAACAAAAATTTTAAAAAAAAAACGATAATTTGTTTAATTATTTTTAATTAACTTAAAAGGAACCTATGCATTTATCAAAAAATTAATAACAAAAAAAAAATAACAGAAAATCCTCGTCAGAGCTGTTCATCTTAAAGCGTTTAAATTTGATGAGAAAGTTTGTAGATTTTTGCATGTAAATAGAGAACAAATCTGACAATGTGTCAAAGTTAATTCATATTTAGTGTTTGTATAGATGTTGGCTGATATAGAAACAGAGGAAAAATTTGTCATCATGTGTCAAAGTCGACAGGTGCACTTATTGTTGCTTGACAATTATAATTACTTTTCGGCACTCAGTGCGGATAAGGCCTGTATCCGCACTGAGTGCGGAAAAGTGTAACTTTGAGCCCGGAAATGCGTGCGGAAAAGTACTACTTTGCGCACGCTCGTAGGAAAAAACTATATTGGTTTTGTGAACATCAAAACGATATTTAAAAAACATTATTAAAAACATCATTCCAACATTAACGATGGTAATTTTTATGGGTAGGTACCTATTAGGTAATTAAAACTCAGAATCAGACTCAGAATTTTTTTTATTTGTGCATATGCTTCTGATCCAAGTTATTTTCCCTCAGTGAAGCAGCACCTGCCTGGTTATAGCTCATTGCCCTTCGAGCTGCGCCTGCTCTTCCACAGCTCCTTTCTTCTTCCTGCAATAAGAAGTAATTTGTATGACTATAATTTATGAATATCATTTTCATAGATACAGGGTATTCCAACGAGGATTGATCAAAGGCTTCCTTTTTTCTTATAATATATCTTTCTTCTTACACTCTTTATATTATTGAGAAAATCCAAAATACCTATCTCATGTTCCTGCAGAATTCAATTATTGTATCAAAAAATCTTTGAACCAAAAACATAAGACACGCCATGGATGATGGCTATCTTGGATTCTCACAAAAATACAGGGAGATTCAAGAATAGGCTCCCCGTTTTAAGTCCTCGTTGGAAAACCCTGATATAAATACCACTTACCGTGAACCTCGAACGAAATCGCAATTATTCTCAGAGCCAAATAACGTACCTACACTCGCACACAAACCTCACAAAACGGAAGCAAAAGTTGGAAAAAATAAATAAAACAGATACGCATCAAAATACTCAAAATAATATTGACTTCACTCTAGCCTAGCTGAACCCGACCGCATGGAGGTAAGTAACACCCATTTGGCTCACCTTCGCAAATTTGAATGTAACACCCGATATCGCAACGGAGAGTTTCTTTATCGGGAGTTACTTACCCTGGACAGATTTGCATTCACATAATGTTTAAAATGTATGCCTTTATTAGTTAGTATAGATATAATATTATTAGTTTTTTATGTTTCAAACTGTATTTTATTAATTCGCTTGTTAATTCGTCTAGACTTAGATAAAGAAAAACTAAAAATAATTCAATTATTTATTTACTTATTTTATGAGTTAAAAAACTCACAACTTTGTGTTTTTATATACCGAATAGAAATCAAGAGTCGTCTAAATAATATATTTCGGCAAGTTGACAACATTGCCTGTTACACTGCTCGCTGCTGTGGCGTCGGTGTCCGAATTTTGTTGAGACAAGAAAATTTCTGGAAGACGTGCGTTTGCATAGTATATTTTCTATATTAGTTAAAAAATGAATAGTGTTATTATGCCAGAGGATTATCTGTATATAAGAATTAATTATAATTTAATACGTTGTAAAATTGAAACAAAAGAAGAACTGGATGTACCAAAGTATTATCTTTTTGTTTTAAGGTATATTATTATGTAAATTAGTTATACATACAGGGTGGGAACTTTAACTGGAACTAATTCGCTAGAGCCTTCGAATAAAATATGTGAACAAAACGCAAAAACACGTCGATCAAGATTTTTTGCTTGAGTTTTTTTCACATTAATTTTTTTATACAGGGTGTTCCAAGAACAGCTGTACGGTTGTCAACTTTATTTTTCCAAATGGTAGCCCCTGTATATTATGACATTTCTGGATTCTGCAGAAAATTCTAGACATATTTTATTCACAATGTCATATACCTATCTTCAACTGTTTCGGAAATATTGACAGTTGAAAATGGACTTTTTTGCAACTTTAACAGGGTGTAAAACCTTTACGGTTAATTTTAGAGGAAAACCGATTTCACATGCCTGTCTTAGATTT